CGAAGCCGGGAGACCCTCCGCTCCCGTTTTAACAAGTACGGCACCACCACCCGAGTACTGCTCGGGCCTCAGGAGTCCCTGGCGGCGGCGGACAAGGCCGTACGGCCGCCCACGCGCCGGGAGCTGGCGGCGGCGGCGAGGAAGAAGGCACCCACGCAAGCGGGCCACACGACCGCCGCCAACGCTGCTGCTGCTGCGGCGGCGGCGGCGGCGTCTTCGGCTCCGGGTTGTGGTTGTACGGCGCCGTCGTCCGGCGGTCGTGTGGTGATGGCGGTTGAAGCTCGTAAAGCTGAGCTGTGGCGGCGATTGCAATCCCGGGGCTTCGAGCTCTTCTACAGGCGCGTGATGATGTTGATGATGATGAGGAGGCGGGGGAAGGAGGGGGTGGGGAAGAGGAGAAGGGGGGGTTTGTATGTACGAGGGTGAAGAACACTCTGTGCCGTACACTTGCTTTAATTAAAAAACATGGCACTGCCCCCGGTGCCTTACGAGAGACCTTTCCCGTACTGCTGGTACGGCAAACACACAGGTACCGCGTGTGCGAGGGGGAGGTGGACGCGGCGGCGGCGGAGCGGGCGCTGCACGATGTGGTCAACTACGCGGGGTGTCTGGTGAGGGCTTTGGAAGGTTTGAGATGTGGGAGCTCGAGGGCGGGGGGGGGCGGGGGGGTGAATGAATGTTCCTGGGGGGCTATGAGCGGGGCTTGGGGGCAGCCGGGGGCGGGGTGCGGGGGCTGGGCTGGGTGCGTGGCTGCATGTTTGGGCAAAGAGGACCGGATGGAGCTGTGCCGGGAGGGAGGGGGGAGGGACTGCTGAGGTTGGGTGCGGAAGGAGCAGGAACAGGCGGACCCCCTCCCCCTCCCCCCTCTCCCCCCGGGGTTCGTCCCCTCCCTGGTGCGTTTCATTTGGTCCTCCGTGTGGGAGGGGGGAGGGGAAGGGGGATGACACGAACCACTGACGGTTGAGGCAGATGGGAAGGGGAGGGGAGAAGGGGGAGGGAAGAAGGGGGAGGGAAGAAGTGGGAGGGGAGAAGGGGAAGGAGAAGGGGAAGGGGAGAAGGGGAAG